GTAAAAAAAATTCAAATACTTGGAGGCTGAATAGCATGCTATTAAACAATGATTGGGTTACCAAAGAAATCAAAGAGGAACTTAAACACATCCTGGAAATGAATGACAATGAAACACAATAACCCAAAACCTATGGGACACAGTGAAAGCAGTCCTGAGAGGGAAGTTCATAGCATTACAGGCCAACCTCAAAAAAAGCCCCCAAAAACAAAACAAAACAAAAAAAAACCTGGTAATAAACCACTTAAAAAAAAAAAAAAAAAAAAGAAAAAGAAAAAAGAAAAACTGGTAATAAATTATCTAGCTCTACAACATAAAGAATTATAAAGAGAGCAACAAGAAAAGCCCAGAATGAGCAGAAGGAAGGAGATAATAAAGATCAGAGCAGAAATAAATGACATAGAGACAAAAAACAAACAAACAAAAAAAAACCCCAAAATCAAACAAAAGATCAATGAAACCAAGAGCTGGTTCTTTGAAAGGATAAACAAGATTGATGAACCTTTAGCCAGGCTCACCAAGAAGTAAAGAGGGAGGACCCAAATAAACAAAATCAGAAATAAAAGAGGCAAAATAACAACAGACCCCACAGAAATACAAAAGATTATAAAAAAAATACTATGAACAACTCTACTCCAACAGACTAAACAACCTAGAGGAAATGGACATATTCCTAAAAAAAATGACCTTCCAAAACTCAATCAAGCAGAATCAAAAAATCTGAGCAGGCTGATACATATGGAGAAAATTGAAGCAGTCATCAAAAAGCTTCCAGAAAACAAAAGCCCAAGGCCAGAAAACTTCACAGGAGAGTTTTACCAAACATTCAAAGAAGAACTAAAACCTATTTTTCTCAGACTATTCAAAATATTCAAGAGGAAGGCATACTCTCAAGTTCTTTTTATGAAGCCAGCATTACCCTAATACCAAAACCAGATAAAGACACCACAAAGAAAGACAATTACAGGCCAATATCCCTGAACATAGATGCTAAAATCCTCAACAAAATTCTAGCAAATTGGATCCAGCATTACATTAGAAAGATCATACACCATTACTAAGTGGGATTATTCCAGGGATGCAAGGATGGTACAATATCCCCAAATCAATAACTCTGATAAATCACATAAAAAATTGAGAGACAAAAGTAAGATAATCATATCAATTGATGCAGAAAAGGTCCCAGCTCATTCTATGAAGCCAGCATCACCCTAATACCAAAACCAGATAGAGACAACACAATGAAAGAGAATTACAGGCCAATATCCCTCATGAACATAGATGCCAAAATACTCAACAAAATTCTAGCAAATCGGATCCAGAAATATATCAGAAAGATCATACACCATGACCAAGTAGGATTCATCCCAGGGATGCAAGGATGGTACCATATCCGCAAATCAATAAACGTGATACATCACATAAACAAATTGAGAGACAAAAATCACATAATCATATCAATTGATGCAGAAAAGGTATTTGACAAAATCCAATATCATTTCCTAATAAAAACTCTCAGCAAAGTGGGAATAGAGGGATCATACCTCAACATAATAACAGCCTTATATGACAAACTACAGCCAACATCATACTAAATGGGCAAAAACTAAAACCATTTCCCCTAAGAACAGGAACAAGATAGGGATGTCGACTTTCACCACTCCTGTTCAACATAGAACTGGAAGTGCTAGCCATTGTGATCAGACAAGAAGAAGAAATAAAAGGCATTCAAATTGGAAAAGAAGAAGTCAAAAAGTCATTCTTTGCAGATGACATGATATTGTACATAGGAAACCCTAAAGACTCCATCAAAAAACTACTAGAACTAATAAATGAATTTGGCAATGTAGCAGGATACAAAATTAATACCCAGAAATCTATGGCTTTTTTATACACCAATAATGAACTCACAAAAAGAGAATCTAAAAAACAATCCCATTTAGCATTGCAACAACAAAAAATTAAGACACCTAGGAATAAACTTAACCAAGGAGGAAAAGGACCTGTACTCAGAAAATTACAGGACACTGAAAAAAGATATACAGACATAAAGGGAAAAATATACCGTGTTCATGGATTGGAAGAATCAACATCATTAAAATTTCTATATTACCCACAGCAATCTATAGACTCAATGCAATCCCCATTAAAATACCAACAGCATACTTCAAAGACCTAGAACAAACTCTCCAAAAATTCATCTGGAATAAAAACAGACCCTAAATACCTACAGCAATCTTGAGAAAGAAGAACAAAGTTAGAACAATCACAATACCAGATATCAAGCTATACTATAAAGCAACTGTTCTCAAAACAGCTCCTTGTGCTGGCACAAGGACAAACATGTAGACCATGGAACAGAACAGAGAACCCAGAGATTGACCCAAGCCATTATGTTCAATTAATATTTGACAAAGGAGGCAAGAGCTTACAATGGAGTCAAGACAGTCTTTTCAATAAATCGTGTTGGGAAAATTGGACAAGTACATGCAAAAAAATGAAACTAGACCACCAACTTACACCATACACAAAAATAAATTCAATGTGGATAAAGGACTTAAACGTAAGGCGGGAAACCATAAAAATCCTAGATGAGGTCATAGGCAGCAAAATATCAGACATATGTCATAGCACTATCTTTACCGATACAGCTCCTTGTGCAATGGAAACTAAGGAGAAAATAAACAAATGGGACTACATCAAAATAAAAAGCTTCTGCATAGCAAAAGAAATAATCAAAAAACAACAAGAAAGCCCACTTGCATGGGAGAACATATTTGCCAAAGTTATCTCCCATAAGGGTTTAAACTCCAAAATTTAAAGGGAACTCATACAACATAACAAAATGAAGATAAACAATGCCATAAAAAAATGGGCAATGGACCTAAATAGACACTTTTCGAAAGAGGATATACAGAAGGCCAAGAGACATGAAAACATGCTCAAAGTCACTAATCATCTGAGAGATGCAAATCAAAACAATAATGAGGTACCATCTCCCACCTGTTGGAATGGCTATCATCAACAAATCAACAAATGACAAGTGGTGGAGAGGATGTGGAGAAAAAGGAACCCTCTTGCTCTGCTGGTGGGAATGCAGACTGGTGCAGCCACTGTGGAAAACAGTATGGTGTTTCCTCAAAAAATTAAAAATGGAACTGCCATTTGACCCAGTAATCCCACTTCTAGGAATATATCCCAAGAAAACAGAAACACCAATCAGAAAGATATATGCACCCCTATATTCATAGCAACACAATTTACAATAGCAAAGATTTGAAAACAACCTAAGTACCCATCTGCAGATGAGTGGATTAGAAAACTGTGGTACATTTACACAATGGAATACTATGCTGCTGTAAAAAAGAAGGACCTTTTACCATTTGTAACAGCATGGATGGACCTGGAGAGCATTATGTAAGCGAAATAAGCCAGTCAGAGAAAGATAAATATCATATGACCTCAGCCATTTGTGGAATATAATGAACATTATAAACCGATGAACAAAAATAGAACGAGAGTCATAGAAGCATCGAACAGACTGACCAACCTATGAGGGAAGGCAGTGGGTGCGGGGGTAAAAGATCAACCAAAGGACTTGTATGCATGCATATGAGCATAACCAATGGACTCAGACAGGGGGAGGGCATGTGCTGGGGTGGGGGGGCAGCTGGAAAGTGGTCAATGGGGGGAAAAGGAGACTTAAGTAATACTTTAAACAATAAAGAATTTAAATTTTAAAATTTTTTAATGCAAAATATCGATTAAAACAATAGTTTTGATATAATTTTGTCAATAAAGAAAACGATTATTTTATTATGGTTTAAATAAATATATCACAGATTAATCCTTGACCCCCACAAGAATCTGATGATTTTACCTGCAAATCTTTCCTGTCAGTACATGAGTTTTCTTTTGTAAATAAACTGTCTGTGGACTATGTTAAAATGACACCAATTCTGATGGCTCCTCACAGTCACTGTGAAAATTACCTAGAAACTGAACCTCCCAAGGCATTCACCATTCAGAGACTTTCAGGGACTTTTGGGAACATTGAATCATCAGTGAAATTTTTGAAGACAGATGACTCTTATTTAAGTGAAATTTGAATAACCCTGTAGCAATAATGGATGCCTATGCTTGTCCCTGGGAGGTATTCCAGGAAAGAAACAGGCACCTTAGTTTGAATTCCATTGACTTCATGCTTTAAGAAAGGTCACTGTAACTATCCCATGGATATCATCCTCTAAAATAACATTCTACAGAGCAGCTTTATGGTGCTTGATTTAACAAATAGTATCTAGTTTTAGGTTCACTTATTTCTATTTTGTTTTAATTTCTTGAACTTAGTGGCTTCCCATGAATAAAATTTTGATTTATAACGTTGTATCTACTGTGAATAATTGTTTAATTTACTACTGATGACTTAATCCAGGCACTGATTAACTGGAGGACCCTTGCTGTGGTCAAGTGATCATTTTTATAATTTTATTTTATGTAATTACTATTGATATTAGAAGCATGTTTACTTTTTATACTTTAACAGACCACCAGAGTAAAATAAGAAAATCCATGTTTAAAAATACAAAATACAAGAAAAAATCACACACACACACACACACACACACACACACACAATTTACAAATGAAATGGGACATTAGGCAATATATAATAAAGAATAATAACTGTCATAATAATAAATAGTCTGCATGTGCTAAATGATTAAAAACTATTTTGGAAAGGAAAGGAGATATAAAATAATTATAAAATAAGGGATGATTAAATTCAAAAGTCATACATGGGATTGATACTAGTGTGAATATATGGTATTTGGAAAAAATATAAGCAATGTTTTTTAGAATTTTTTATTTCAAATTGTAATTACATTAAGACAAAAATTTACTTTAAGACTTAGTATCTTTAGAGTGCATTACTAGGGAGATATTTATAAGTTTTACTAAATATATATTTAGTTAATTGTGAATAAATAAACACTGACCTGCAGTAAAATGTGTGTCCAGATTCACCAAGACAGATCCCTCCATTAACACAGAGGTCCATATTCAGTTCCCGCTCAGCAGAACTATCAATACTTATTTCACAATATGCACCCACGTAGCAACTTGGGCAAATGCAAGTAAAGCCATGGTCTGACTTCTGATTCATATAAGGGGTTGATGTGCAGTTCTAAGTTAAGAAATAGAGAGTAAAATTTGATGGTCAGTGGTCAGACTAATACTTTCATTAAAATTTTATTGAGGTTAAATATTAAAAAACATATGCAAGTGTATCTGATATTCCTTTCCTCTAGTCACTAAAATATGTGTCTAGCAATAAGAGGTATTTAACTTTGTCAGCAGAAATACTCTGTCAAATGTTTTATTGTTTAATTTTAAGGGAAATTACATAAATTTTATGTAATCATGTACTGTTTTTATGTTATAATCATCTTATAAATGAAAGTTTGTGCCATTTATCAGCCTTTCCCTATTTTTCCACCCGTAGTGCCCGGCAATCATCATTCTACCTCTATTTCTACGAGTTTAACTTTTCTTTTTCATTAATATTCCACATACTAGTGAGACCATGAGTATGTACTTGGCTTTCAGTCTGGCTTATTTTACTTAGCATAATGCTCTCCAGGTTTATCAATATTGTCATAAATGGCAGGATTTCCTTCTTTTTTTTAAAAGACAATAATATTTTATTGTACGTATAGATACTACATTTTCCTTGTGCAATCATCTGTCAATAGAGACTTGAGTTGTTTCCATACCTTGGTTATTGTGAATAGTGCTGCAGTAAACATGGGACTACAGATATTTGAGATAATGGTTTCATTTTATTTGGATATATATCCAGAAATGCAATTGTGATCACATAATAATTACTTTTTTTATTTTCCAGAAGTGAGTAACATCTATACTATTTTTAATAGTGGCTGTAGCAGTTTACTTTCCTACCAATAGCATATAGGGGTTCCCTTGCCACCATGTCCTTGCTAGCATTTGTTATCTCTTGTATTTTTTATAATAGACATCCTAACTGTGAACTTATATCATTGTGGTTTGGATCTGCCTTTCCCTGATGATTAATGATGTTGAGCACCTTTTAATGTACTTGTTTCCATTAGTATGACTTCTTTGAAGAAATTATTCAAGTCCTTTGCCCATTTTTAATTGGATTATTTGTGTGTGTTTTATTTTTTTACTTTTTTGCAATTGCGTTTCATGAGTTTCTTATATGTTTTGGATATTAACCCTTTATCAGATAGGTGGTATGCAAATGTTTTCTTTTATTTCAGAGGTTGCCTTTAATTTTGTTGATGGTTTCCTTTGCTGTGCAGAAGCTTTTTATTTTGATACAGTCTCACTTCTTATTTTTGCATTCATATCATGCATCAAATGGAAAATTAAAAATTTGTAAAAATCACCAGAGAGTTTAAATTACTATCATTTTCAATGGATTGTGCCCTTAACTATAAAACTTAAGTCATGCTTGAAACCAAGATGGTGATCTTTTACGCTCACCCAAGTGATAGAGTTAAATACATTTTTAATAAATTAATGTCATTCTGATATTTGTTCTACCTTTACTGAAAATGTGAACTCCTTAAGGATTGCCAAAGGCACTTTGTGCAGGTACTGCAGTTATTTTTATGGAATAAAAATGCAGAATTCCACAGGGAATGGCCTGGAACAACATGATTCTCTGTTATTCCTATGGCTGGTATACAGAATGAATGATTAGAAAGAATTACATAAACTAATTGAATTATATTTCCCTTGGGCAGAAAGAAATCATTTTTAGACTGCCAAAAGTTCCATCTCTGGGGTTTACAAGAATCTTTTACTAAATTAATTAGAAGGCTTAATGGGAAATACAAAAACAATTTCTTTAAAAAAATCTAAGTGTCACTTAAAGTTCTTGATCTTTTCTGGTTCAAAAATTAAGAGGGATGCCTTTCCTTTTGTTCATAATCATTTATAGTATTTTGCTGCACTCTATTTAATATAATAAAATGCTTCCCAAGAAGAATTCACTAATTTAATTCCAGAAATTAAAGAAATAAAAAGCTGGTGTATTCATGGAATAATGTTGTAGACCATGGCAATCTAGACAATTAAGCTAGACCCCAATGCTACAGTCACTCAACTTGCATTCAAAATGCCATGCCAGGAAATGCACAGGAGTGCGAGAACACCAGAGCAGTGACGCATTCATTGTGGACTGCTTAGCCAGAGCAAACCACCAGATTGGCTAGTAAACATGCCAGTTATTTCTATGACAGTTGTGTTCTTCCAGAGGTGTATAGTTTAATTCCAAAAATGTGTCCTGTGATGTATTATCTGACATTGTCTTTATCATAAAACATTTATCTCATAGAATCTTTCCTTTTAGCATTGCTGTTTTTAAAGTAGTGGGATACTTTCTTCAAATTAGATCTTGGAAAACAGAGTATGAGTTCAACCAAAGAACATGTATGATCCATGCATGACCCATGGACACAGACAATAGAGTGGTGAGCCTGGGCGGGGAACAGGGGCAGGCTAGAAAGGGCCAAGTTTATACTCTAACTTGGCAAAATGAGGTGTCAAACATGGACAAGCAATCCAAAAGATGGAGAACACTTTGTAAGGAATCTGTAGCTTTGTAAGGGACATGGCTGGTGTGAGTGTTTAAGAGAAGCCTTGACCCCACTTGTTTTGCTCTTCTTATTTAGATTTGACCTTGCTCTTGCAAGAATAGTGAAAGACATCTGCCCCTAACATAGAGTTTCAAGATTTATAGACCAGAGCAAATAAATAAATAGAGAGAGAAAAATATCAGGAAGAACATGTAAGAAAAGATCTAATAAACACAGAAGTATGTGTGAAAGGAATAGGCTGTGAGGCCAAAAGGACACACACACACACACACACACACACACACACACACACAAATGAGCAAGAGAGTATTAATAATTATTTCCTAATATGAACTAGTGTTTGATTAACTCTATTTTCTGCATCTAAAGTACATAAATAATTTTTTAAGAACAATACACTTAAAATATCTCAAATTTTCATCAAGAGGATACTGACTAAATAAATATGGTACCTCCAAGCCATGTAATATTAATAAGAATGATGTAGAACTACTTATGTTAATGTAGACTCATCTGCAATGGTAGATTAAGTAGAAAAGCAAGGTACTCTGCATGTGTGATAAATATCCCCATTTATGAGATCTTCTTTATTTTAAATATGTGTTTTCAACCAAAAGTGAGAGATATTCTGTACAATGACTTGTGGGAAACAGCTAACGTTTGCTGGGGGATTCCAACTCAAACTTTATCCTGAAAAGCATACTTATGAATGCATGATTTATTAAAAATTAAAAGACAGTGAGAAAAATACTAAGTAACGTTAAAAATGCTTTTATTGATTTTAGAGAAAAAGGAAGGGAGATGGAGAGAGAAAGAGAAACACCAGTTGACTGCCTCCTGCACACACCCTACTGGGGATCGAACTCACAACCCAGGCATGTGTCCTGACAGGAAATTGAACCAGCAACCTATTGGTGCATGGGACTATGCTCAACTAACAGAGCTACACAGGCCAGGGCTAGAATAACTTTTTTTTACTAAGTCCCTTTCAAACTTGTCACAAACCACAGAACCGTTAGAGGAAATCTCAGTAAGTTTGGATACATTACCCTTTTGAATGTCAATATGCACTATATATTGATTAAAAATTAACAAAAAATAGGAAAGTGTATATAATGTATATGATAGAAAAAAGTGAATAATCTTATTATATAAGAAGACTTTTATAAATGTCAGCTCACATTTGAGGAAATACAAATACATGTACACACACATTTTTTTCTTTAATCCTTTTCTTTCTGTTTAGATAATTTCTTTTAGTTCTCCCTTTAGATTAGATATGCTGGTGATAAATTCTTAGTTTTCCTTCATCTTAGAATCTCTTGATTCCTTCTATTATGTTTTCATGTTTTCTTTATTTTATCTTAGTACTTTTTTATATATTTATAATTTGATATAGTACTCAAAACAACGTATCAGCTCTATTGTAGCAGTTATCCACAGTCTCAACAAAATAAAGGGAAGTGTTTGAATATCACCCTTCTTTCTTTTCTTTCATCTGTGTGTGTGTGCGCACGTGTGTGTGTGTGTGTGTGTGTGTACAGAATTGAGTTAATTGCATTTTACAAAACCACAGCATCCATTTCACACCTGATCACAAGTTTGTTTTTCTCTAGCACTGATTCTAATTTTTTTAAACTTACTTCAAATTATCATATTGACAAAAGAAAAAAAGAGTTTGTTTGCATTTTTCTCCCTCCAGCCCTAACATAAACTTTTTTTTTTCACTCTTCAAGGAGCTTTAGATATGACCACCTGTTCCATTGTTGACCTGAGTGTTCTTTTCAATCAGCACCGCCCATGTTTGTCCATTGCTCTTGACTCTTTAGCCGGGAAAGAAAGACTTGGACATTAATTCATAATGCCTTTTGGAGGTTGTTGTTTGTGCATTGCAACATAGAGAGAGCTATAATAAATAGGTCAGCTAAGTAAGAAACTTATCTATATCTCCAACTGATTGTCAGAAGGTATGCCTGAAAATTCTTATACCCTGGTTTCCCATAGATATTAAATATTCAATGTTTGCAGACCAAATAACCATAAGGACATTTAGCGTGCCCTTAATGTATTAATACAAAAAGGATGATTAAAATAAAACATCATTGAATTATAATAATTAATATAGATGGGAAAATGAGATTTTAAAAGGTAGAGAAACAGAAGAGTTATCCCTAATACTATATTTAGATACTTAAAGCATAAAATATAAGTCATTTCACATCTGTAGAGAAATAACAGACTATTTTAGGTAAAATTTAGATAATAGTTCTTGGAAAAATAAATTATACTTTTGAAAAAGTAAATCAAATCACTCACTTCTTTCATCATAACAATATATGCACGATGAGTTAAGGTATTAAAAGTGTTACCAATGTTAAAATTATAGATGAATACAATAAGAATTTTATTTAAATATTGCTAAATAAAAGCACTTTCTAAAGAGAGATGCAAACCCAGAATCATTAAGTTAAAAAGTATAAAAAATTTCATAGTATATTAGTTTTATAAAACTCTAGAGAAGATTTGCAATTTTTCAGAATCTAGTGGATTTTATTCATAATTGTAAATACTATATACCAGCCAAAAAGAAAAAGGCAAGCAAGCCCAAAGAAAAATTCTGTTAATCAAAGGCTATGACTACACAAAGCACAAAGATCTACAAATGATAAATAACTATATGAAAAGGTGCTAAATCTTCATAGTAACCTAGGAAAATGTGAATTAAAATAATGAAGTGATAAATTTTCCTCATCAAATTGGTCAACACTTTTAAAAAGTATGTATTCATTTAATAGGATACAGGAAAACTGGTATGCTTAGTCTCTCAGTAAATAAATACAATTTTTCAACACTTATTTGGAATCCTTTTTAGCTATTAAAAGCAATGGGTAAGGACTCAATTATAATGGAAAGGTTCCTACAATAGTTAAAACAATTGGTTTCCCCAGCCTCCAAAACTGTGAGAAATAAATGTCTTTGTTTAAGCTTCCCAGTCTATGGTATATTTTGCTTACAACACTGAACAGACTAAGGGAGGTGGAATGGTGAGAAGACTTTAAGAGGCCTTGTGTTTGGGATAAAATGGGTGGAGATTGTACAATCTGACTGCCATCTCTCAAGGAATGATTCCAATTCCCGAGAAGATGTAGTAAGAGTTACATCTTACTACAAGGGGCCAATAAATGGCAGCATAGGACAAAGCAGTGGCATCAAGGACACAGTCATGTCCTCTCTACTTCTCTGATGATTCATAGCCCTTGCCCATTAATTGAAAAATTGCCCAAAATGAAGTGAAGGAGTAGAGTCCACCATGAATTGGCCAGACTGTCTTTTCTACTATTTGTGAATTTTAGGAATAAATGAGGTAGCATCTTCAGTGCAATTTTATATATATGAATAAATACTTTGAAATTCATAAATATAAAGTATTTATTGATATGGAAAAGTATCTAAACATATAATTACATGAAAAATTGCACTATATAACATGATATGTTATTACCCTGTTTTAATTTTGATATTTTATTTACATGTGTTTATGCATAAAAAGTATCTTAAAGTTCATATTCCTCATTAAACTTGTTTTTCTCTGGAAAAACAAGTCACTAAAGTACATGTTTATGTAAAAATATTAGAAATAAATCTAGACAATTTTAACAATTATTCTCATAGCAATGTTTGTAAATACTAATATATACAAATTCATTCACATAAACACTTATTTATTTATTTATTTATTTATTTCATTCAGAATAAGAATGCCACATTATACTAGCAAGAAATAGTTTTTAGAGATTACCGCAGGCAATATATGCAACCACACAAACAAATATATGCCTCATATACCAGGAAATTTAGTAACTAAAACATGTCCTTTTCCATGTTATGCATGGTTTTCATTATCTAGAATAAAATCAACATAATATCAATAAGTAATTAAGCTTTCAAAAATATAATGTGTGTCAGAACTGTGCTAATTGATTTACATGCATTATCTAATTTAATTCCCACAACAATCTAAGAAGTAGTTGCTATGATGACCCTCACTGAATAGCTAAAACATTTTTTTCAGAATGTCAGTACATAATTTGTTCAAGAACACACAGAAGGTAAGTAGGAAAATATAGGTCAATCATCTTTCCCCTTAATGCATTTAAGTACCCCATCACTCTCTCCAAAAGGATCATTTACTGAGTATCTATCACCTCTCATGTACATGACCATACAATGACCCTATGATGTATAAACTGTATTTTACTAAGGTAGGAGAGAGACAGAAAGGATTTAAGTAAAATATCCGCAGTCTCCCTAAGCTGAAGGCTTCTTTAGCCCCTATGCTTCCTTCCTTTACCATGTTCCTGTCAGCAGGAAGGATTTGGAAGAACTCCCCATTATCCAGAAAGGCTCATGAGATTCTCATGTCCCAGGCATAGTCTCAAACTTCAGGCAACCAACATTTCCCAACAGATTAGGCATTCCACATAAAGTACCATATGTCCATTAGATCACATCGGACTCCTGAATACTGGAAGAAAGATCCTGAGAGTACTGTAGGTGTTGAGGATTGCTACATGTAACCACCTCTGGGCACATCCATCTAGTATTTATTTATTTATTTATTTATTTATTTAGTGTGTGTGTGTGTGTGTGTGTGTGTGTGTGTGTGTGTGTGTGTGTGTTTTCTGGATCATTGAATCTTCTCTCATCCCTAGACATCCACAGATACCTGTGTATTCTAAGAGTAGAGAGAGGTAGGCATGTGACAAATTATAAACCTTCTGAGGTACTTTTTTCAATGACCATATCCAGAATTTAGTTTAATGAAGGCTCCCGATTTCAGAAGTTTAAGATAACAAGAGACAGAGGGGAAAAGGCAAAAAGAGGCTGTGATTTTTGTTTGAAGCAGCTGAAAAATTCCAAAAAGAAATGGTGAGGAACTGAGTAGTTAAATCATTAATAATTGAAGAAATAACTCTGAAATCTACAGCAAGTGATTTGATTGTTCTCTTGAATTACTATAGATTTAATCAAAATTATTCAACTTACATTAATCTTGATCTCACATCTTGAGCTAGTCCATTCTGTATCACAGGAGCATTGATATTCATTAGTGACATCTGTGCATATGAAACATAGAATTGCATTTTTAAGTAAATAAGACATTAAAGCATAAATTCAAGACAGTTTAAATATTTAGAATTGCTCTTTTCCTGTTCGGGTAAAAATAAAACCAAAACCCAAAAAACAAAAACACACACATTCCCATGAGCAGAAGGCAGTCTATTCCCGATAAAAATAAAACCAAAACCCAAAAAACAAAAACACACATACACATTCCCATGAACAGAAGGCAGTCTATTCCCGGTTTCTTATCCTTCAAGGTGACTGGGCTGAGAGAACAAATCAATTTTCATTTTTGCCATCTTCCCCATGGCAATGAAAAGAAGGAAGAGTTCTAGAAGATCTACAGTACATGTAGGGCTAATCTAGGAAACCGAAGGCAGCTATGGCTGAACTCCATTGCAATGAGCTATCCATCTTCATCCTGCCTTCCCTTTGTACAAAGTCAGTGGCAGGACTAGGAAAAAACAAGTAATAATAATGCTGCAAAGGCAACTTGGTGCATCTGAAAGACATTCTTCTTTGTCACTTGCATCTCCTAGAAATGCCCCTACTCTGGATTTGCATAAACTAATTTGCTATCATTGAGCAGAAGAGTCATTATACAATTCCATAAAGAAAGCCACAAAATAGCTTACATGCACATAGGGATGAAAGAACCAGTTTACTTAGGAACATATTAAATACTAAGTGTGTGGTATTATCCCTCCACAGAGCAAATAATAGAATGTCTTCTCATCCTACCTGCTGCTTCTATTACTGTGAGCAGTTACCTTTAAGTATATTAAAGCCCAATTAATCTGCATTTATTGAAATTTATGCTAATGTGTAGAAATAAAAGAAGGGCAGAGAAAATGTATCAGTGCATTGCATTAAGTAGAAAAGGCAGCATCTGTCATCTTAACTGTACTTAGCTCTAGTTTTATGAAGGAGCGTAATTAAAATTAACTTTATCAACTTTCCCTTGACATTAAGTCTTAAGTATTGTGAGTTAAATTTACTTTCTGAGATTTAATAATAGAAAAGCAAAAATAGCTACCTTCCCTGCAGACAAGGATTTGAGAGGCAATCATTTGCATTTGTTTCACAGTGTGTTTCAGAAAAGCCACTCTTGCAGTCACAGGTATAATGATTGATGCCATCAATACAAGCTCCATCATGGAGACAGGGTTTTGATAGACATTCATCTATATTTACTTCACAAGTGATGCTTATATAGAAGAAACAAAACAAAACATGAGCCTATTTATAAGCAAAACACAAAAGTTTGTTCATTATGATAAATGTCACCAAGAAATCAAGGCTCCCTTCCTATAAAGATAATTTGACATCTTGTAGCAAAATAAAGAAACAAACAAACAAATAAATAAATATAATTTTAAGGTTAATGTGTTTAGGTATGAACCCTCAGACTACTAATTTAATGTGAATGAGAAAAAAAAACACACCAGCTTAATCTACTTAAAAGATTATTTTTAGCATGAGTTCTTTATTGTGAATATTAGTGAAGTAATGAATTATATCAAGTTATCACTATGAATATTAATTCCTACATTTTTTTGGTAATGATTCTTGAAAATCAAATATTTATTACCTATAGGAATTAAGAGTTAGAATTTTTCTAAATTTGGTCCTGGTGAGTCTATTAATGGGCTATCTGAGATTTCTACTAGTAAATGTAATCTAACTTTGGCTAAATACCTAGTGTTTTCAAAGGCCACGTTTTGAATATTTATTAAGAACCTACCATGCACCACCTCTGTGCTCAAGTAGAAGTACACAAAAAAAATCCACAAAAGAGAGAAAGAACAACATGTTAATCCAGAAATAAGTCAGAGAGACAATTTTTATAGATAGAAAACATCTAGAGAAAAGCATAAGCCAAGTTTAATGGGAAGCTAGACTGTGTTTTAGGTTTCACATGATGCAGATGTTAGGAAAAAGTAGAGAATCATTATAAAATGTTTAGATGAATCTCTTTATTCATTGTGTTCATCTGTACTGAGCATCTACTAACAAAAACTACCGTCACTGGTGTGCCAGGCCCTGTGCTGAAGGCTTTAAACACATTATTTTAATTAATGCTCATCAAACATGAAGGGAGATAATAACTTTAACCCACTATTGAGTAAACAAGGATTTGGAGAGTGTCAATCACTCGTCCAGATCCCATAGGCCATTGCAGCAGATAAGGGTTCAAATCATGTTCTCTGTAACTTGTACTTCTAATCATTACTTTAAATGGACTATCTTGCAACTACTCTGATATGTGCACGAGTTGTTATGCTGTGTAGTACAATGTACACTGTTAAAAGCACGACAACAGGCCCCAAATGGAGTAACTTACACTAAGCCTCATGTCACCAAACTGACACTTAATTACAGTTTTAGCTCTCCCAGTAATGGAATCTTAAGCCAATCAATCAGAAATAGCCCAAACAGCATTAAGTTATGTAATCTATCTGATAGACAGAGGCCATCCCCTGAAGGAAAGTATAGGCATATCTGAGAGACATTGTGGGCTTGGTTCCAGACCACAGCAACAAAGTGAGTCACACACATTTTCTGGTTTTCCTGTGCCTGTATAAGCTATAGTTACATTATACCGTAGTCTATTAAGTGTGCAATAGAATTATGTCTAAAAAATAACAATGCACATACGTAATAAAAAATACTTTATTGCTAAAAAATGTTAACTATCATCTGAGCCTTTGGCAAGTCATAATCTTTTTGACAGTGAAGAGTCTTGCCTTGATGTGGATGATTGCTGACTGGTCAGGGTGGTGGTTGCTGAAGGTTGGGGTGGCTGTGACGATTTCTTAAAATAAGACAACAATGTGGTTTGCCACATCGATTGGTTCCACCTTTCATGAACGATTTCTCTGCACAATGTGATGGATGTTTGACAGCATTTTACCCACAATAGAACTTTTTTTCCAAATTGGAGTCAATCCTTTCAAACCATGCCATGGTTTCAGCTAAGTGGATGCAATATTCTAAATCTTGTTATTTTGATTATCCTCACAGCATCTCAACCAGGAGTATATCCCATCTCAGGAAACAACTTTCTTTGCTCATCCATAAGAAGCAGCTCCTCATCCATTAGCAGGAGTGTATCCTCACCCTCATCATGAGACTGCAGCAGCAATTCAGTCACCTCTGCAGGGTCCACTTCTAATCCTGGTGCTCTTGCTATTTCCACCACAACTTCAGTTACTTCCTCTGTTGAAGTCTTAAACCACTTAAAGTCATCTGTGAAGACTGGACCAACTTCCACCAAACTCCTGTTAATGTTGATATTTTACCTCTTCCCATGACTCATGAATGTTTTTAACAGCATCTAGAATGGTGAATCTTTCCCACAAGGATTTCAATTTACTCTGCCCAGATCCATCAGAGAAATCACTATCTATGGCATCTATGGCCTTACAAAAAGTATTTCTTCAATAATAGGACTTGAAAGTTGAAATTACTCCAAATGGATGTGGTGTTAGCAAGCATCAAAATGACATAAATTTTGTTGTACATCCCCATCAGAGCTCTTGGGTAACCAGGTGCATTGTCAATGAGCAGTAATATTTTATAAGAAATTTTTTTTCAGAGTAGTGGATCTCAACAGTGGGCTTAAAATATTCAGTAAATCATATTGTATGGCTGTCATCCAGGCTTCATTGTTCCATTTGTACAACATGGGAAGAGTAGATTTACAATAATTCTTAAGGGCCCTAGGATTTTCAGAATGACAAATAAGCATTGGCTTCAATTTAGAATAACAAGCTTCATTAGCCTCTAACATGAAAGTCAGCCTGTACTTGGAAGCTAGGCATTGCCTTCTCCTATCTAGTAGCTATGAAAGTCCTAGATGGCATCATTTTCCAATAGAAAACTAATTCATCTACACGGAAACTCTGATATTTGGTGAAGCCACCTTCATTAATCATTTCAGCTAGATTTCTGGATAACTTGCTACAGCTTCTACATCAATTTTGCCTTGTACTTTTATGTTTTGGAAATGGCTTCTTTCCTTACTCCTCTTTAATCCCCTTCAACCAACCTCTGCTACTGTCACATTTTCTTCTGCAGCTTTCTCACCTCTTTCACCCTCCATAGAACTGGAGACAATTAGGGTCTTGCTCTGGATTAGGCTTTGGTTAAAGGGAATGTTGTAGCTGGATTGACTATCCAGGCCACTAAAACTTTTCCGTATCAGCAGTAAGGATGTTTGGCTTTCTTATCATTCATGTGTTCACTGGAGTAGTACTTTTAATTTCCTTCAAAAACTTTCCTTTTGCACTCACAACTTGGTGCAGGAGGCCTAGCTTTTAGCATATCTTGGTTTCCACAGGCCTTCCTTACTTAATCATTTCTAACTTTTGATTTAAAGTGGGAGATGTGCGACTCTTCCTTCATGTGAATACTGAGAGGCCACTGAGGGTTACTAATTGGCCTAATTTCAGAAGTGTTTTGTCTCAGGAAACAGGAAAGTCCAAGGAAAGTATGAGAGATGGGAGAACAGGTGATCAGTGAAGCAGTCAGAACACACATACCTAAGTTCATCATCTCATATGTGTGCAGCTCATGGTTCCCCAATTATAATAGTAACAGCAAAGGTCACTGATCACAGATCAGCATAAAAAAATACAATAGTAATGAAAAACTTTGAAATATTGTGAGAATTAGCAAAATGTAACACAGAGACACGAAGTGAGAAAAATGCTGCTGGGAAAATGGTGCAATTTATTTGCTCAATGCAGGGTGGCCACAAAACCTCAATTTGTAAAAACAAAAAAAAATATGATATCTGAGAAGTACAATAAAGCAAAGCACAATAAAATGAGCTTTGTCTTTAACTTAGAATAATCAACTCACTGTTTTGTTTAGTATAACTTCCTTATTCCTGCTCTCTTTAGGCTATGAGGGTCATTCATTTTATACAGCTCCCCTGGAGCTCCTAACTGCTACATTGAATGCTGCCCATTTCAAATAGCTGTTTGCTCAAATAAACTTTTATAATTTGTAATATGCCTCACTTTATCTTTTAACAGTTACAAGAGTAAAGCATGGCTCTTATAGCCAGGAAGATAATATCTAGTTGAAAATAAAGATAAGTTTATAAAAGAATATACTATTACAATGGTTATAAATGGTTATAAATAAGCTAGAAGGAAATAAAAATAAATACACTTATTACCATGAAAATATAATAATAATAGTAATAATAATAATAATAGCTGATATTTGGAGACCTTATTATGTGCCAACTACTATTGAACATGTATAAATCAACTCAAGTAAACTTTATTATAATTTTCTGGCATGGAAATTAATTTTCCCACTTTATGGAATAAAAAAAATGAGGCACAAATTGTCACAGCTAGTAAATATTAGTCAAATCTGCAGCTGTATTTCAGAGGCTCATCAAGTTTTAGGTTTAGGATATAGTTTAAACAAGCATTATAGCTTAGATTAGGGAAAGAAAGAAAGAAAGAAAGAAAGAAAGAAAGAAAGAAAGAAAGAAAGAAAGAAAGAAAGAAAGAAAGAA